ACATCCGCCCATCAACTCAGGAAGAGCTGACGAGTGAGCAAAGCCAAGTATCTCATCCTGTCACAGGCTTCAACATGAGTGACGTCACCAGAAGCTGATAATCAATCACAGGCCAGCAGTTTATGGGTCCTAAAGTCTACTGGTCAGGGCTTATTCCTCAAATTTTTGTCTTCTTGCCATGGGATGTCTTGCGGGGGGGTTGCATGAGGGGGGAGAATGGGGGGGGGGGGGGGGGTGGTTAGAGACAAGGTCAAGGGGATGGCTGTCAGAGGCCAGCCCCTTGCCCATCTTCTCCAGTTCTGATGAAAAGTAAACGAGAAGTGTTAACTCTGTTCCTCTCATCACGGATGCTGCCTGACCTGCTCACCAATTCCTCCATTTTGTTTATACCATAGATTCCCTACAGTGCGGAAAGAGGCCCTTCAGCCCAACAAGTCCACACCGACCCTCACAGCATCCCACCCAGACCCATCCCTTATAACCCACCTAATGTACACATTACATTTTTGATTCCTAGCAAATGCAAGATTTCGTTTGATATGTAAATGTACAGTATCTTCAAAGCACAGAAGGTCATTCGATCAAATAATAACTTAATATGCTATTCTCAAACAACAGAACCTGAAAAGGCTGATTTTTAACAATTTAACATGTAGCAGAGTAGGCAAACACTATGACAACAAATAATATGGTCACATATCGTCTCTATGCCAGAACAGAACTATTTAAAAGGATACAATATATTTATTGTTTGGAGGCACTGCAGTAACCCGGGCACTATTGTTTCCTCTAAGTTTGATCAATTCAGTCTGTAGCTTTGAGAATTTATTGCTAGTGCTTTTTCTGTAAATCCTGAAAATTAATACAAGTAGCTTATAAGGCTTGAATCCTGACTCTTAAAAAATAATTATTTTAGTTTCTTTGAATATAGGACTGACCATTAATTTAATCATCTGTTTTAATGGTATTGCTTTCATTTTTAATAAAAGTTTTACATCAGGTTGTGACATGGTACTTAATGCGAAAAGCTTTCTTTTTCAGTTCACCACACCTTTCAAACCTATCTTTATTTTCAATGTGCCCTTTCACAAAACAAGTTAAACATGAACTACGCGCCCCAAAATTAGCTCTACAATACCTGTCAATAATGCTCTGATGGGCCTGATGGAAGTTACACTGCTGAAAGCTTTTGTCGCCAATGTAAAGTCCCTCCTTTCAAATAAATGAAGAAACCTCCTTCCCAATAGGAGACTACATCCAATCACTCAGCCAAGACAGCTGCTCAATGGAAACACTGGAGTGCTTGATGGGCAGCCCTGGAATTTGAAACTGCAACAATCTGATTGTGAGGTATGTAATCTTCCACATCTCTACACCAGGTGCCCAATCCCTTACCTGTTTAATGTAAATATTAGTTTACATTTGCTTTATGTCCAAATCCCTTTATCATGCTGGAATCTGTGGACAGACCACAGAACAAACTCTGTATTTACACTGTGAGGCTTTGCTTCCATGTTCAAACTGGCAAACGGCAAAATCCACTTGGCTGCTCTTCTTTTATACACCACTGATCTGACACCATCAAATTCACAGCTGCCAAAAACAAGTCCAGAGAAGCTTTTACCCACTTGATTTAGGTTTTAAACAGTCTACTTGGCATTTTTAGCAGCACTGGTCAGCATTTGCTTATATTAAAAATAATGTACAATAATCTCCTATTTGGGAGCAACAACAATACTAGATTTATAAAACACAATTTTTTTTTTAAACTTGCTTAATGCAAAAACAATTTGAAGCTGTCAGCAGCGTTTACATATCTGGTGACCTTGTTAATTGGACATAGGTTAAATCAACTAACTCTTTGCTAAGCAGGCACTGCCTTGTGCTATGATATCCATTTTGTTTCAGAAAATGCTGAATATTTGTTCTATAGTGCAATAACTCCTACGTTGGAGTGTATTCTCACTGCATACAAAGTTTCAGAAAAAGATTTATAAGTTCTCCTTTAAAATGAAAGAAAAACTGTAATTTTGACTAAGATACATAGGACTACATTTGCTTTGCCTGAACGCTTTTGAAGTATGAAAATTAATATTCTACAGGTCTCAATTATATTAACTTCCAGAGTTTCTGAGAAGTATCAAAGCAGCAATTAGTCCTTTTTTTACTTCATGGTTACAGAAGCTATACAACACCTGAAAAGAAATGTTTAAATTGTACTGATTTTTCCCTATTTCACAATTCAAACAAGGATTTAGGTATTTTGCTAAAGCTGTGCCCTTAGCTTGGAAAAACCTGCAGGGGTTGAATGCTTGTCAGCCAGATGCCTATTTCAATGGCCTTGGACTAAAGCACAAGCCAAAGGGCCCACGAGTTTAAAAACTCCTGAAAGACCAGCCAACTCTAGTTTTCATTTCACATCTCCAAAGAGCTGCTTCTGTGCTCCAGGCTCTATTTAATGGAAATAAAAGGGGAGGTTAGTGCAGGGCAGTTCTACCTGAACTCAACACCTATTTTAATGGCAAAGTGATGCAAACTCTCCAAAGGAGTCTGGTTTACACTCTGTTGGATTCAACATTTGTATTTCGGATGTATAAAACTGACACGATTCATATTGTAGGCAATGCAGAGCAAATCCAAACCTCTGAAGTGCAGTATACCTCAGGTATAATTTTGACACTTCTGACGATGGGGAGCTATACAAGCTGAATTTTTAAAAATTTTTAGAAAGAGGTGTGTAAGCCAATATTTGCATTTTTAACATGCTTGGATAGACTGATGTGTTTTAGGGTTTGGCTCTAAAAGGGTCATTAACATTTTAGAGTGCTGAATCTACATTGCTACGAGCACCTAACTGCAATGATGAATCGCAAAAATTGTGTCCTTGATATTTCAATTGAGAATTGCACGGCTGAATATTAAAAAATTAAGAGACCATGACAGCAGGAGGACACAGCATTCATTTCTTATGTCAGTGCCTTTCTGATCTCCAGCATGGACAGCTTTTCAGGGTGAAGCATTATGCAAATGTTGTTAGGGGAGAAAAGAGAAAAATCATTCTCTGATCACTTTCTCAAACCTCCTAGCAACTTATTCAGAAATAAGCAAAGGCAAAGGTAGGCTGCTCAACTGCTTTCTAAATCAGAATATGCAAAGCTTGGGGAGACTAGGGCAGAGAGCATTTGCAGTCTTCTGATAAAACTAAAAGTTTGAACCTCACAATATACATTTTTGCTTCAACTTTAAAAACGATAAAAAAAGCCACCAACAAATAAGCTAGTTTTGCATATGCACTCCACTTTTTACATGACATATCTTGAAAATACAAGGCAGAGTGACATATGGGCTAAACAGGATGACTATAAAGGTCTGTGCTTCAAACAGCGTCTTACTGTGGGGCCACTTTCAGGAATATGCCAACAGGCTATACCATTCAGTCATAAGACGAGGGTCTGCACCCATAGTTCCCCACGTAGTGACTCTGTGATTTCAAATGTTTCGATTTGGGCAGCTGCCAAATGGAGGCCAGGCATTTCCCCAAAGGAAGGGAATGGAAAAATATAAAACTCTGGGACTGACAGTTCCATTAAAGCTACAGCTTTCATTGTTTTCACCTGGTCTTTTAATTTGTTGTATGAATACTTCTCAATAGCATTCCTTTCCTTTATCTCACCAAACAATAGCAGAACCAGCACTACATTTACATAAGCTTTCAAGCACTCGGCTTTCAATATTTCACAATTAACAATGTACTGCTGAAATATATGCAAAAACGAAAGCAGGCACTTTAGAAATGCCCCATTTCTCAAAAAATTAACTTGTAGAACTGCTCTTATCCCCAATTACCATAGTTAACTGAAAACTCAAACTGGAAATCCTATTCTGCAATGAACTAACTTCCACTGTCTTCACAATGCCCTTGTATTCTTACTTATATAAACCAAATGACTGGTGCAGTTGACCAGTTGGGACCAGCATAAGATTGTCACTAAACATTTTCCCTAAAATGTTTGAGCCACCAACAAAAAGAAAGTAATACAGGACTCATTAAATGGTGATGAGAACCTAACTGCTCTCTCTCTATATTCTCAGATTACCTCCAAGTGAAAACACGGACTGCAATTTCCCTAGACTGTCGACAGAAGCAGAGACATTAGCCTTCATTCATTTATCTAACCATCAGTTAAGAAAACCTCATTTATGTAAACAATGGAGTAATTTTAAGCTACATTCATACCTTGCATCCTTGGTCACAATCAGTATTAAGAAGATATGGGAGACTGCTTCGAAATTGGCATTGGCAATGAATTACAAACCTACCAAGACCATCAGTGAAATAAAATGAGACTACAGACAGAAGCCCTGACATACCATCATTTTTTTTTAAAATGTGGTGCTGCTATCAGACCAAAGTCTGCCTTTGAGCATTTCTAAAGCAACAGTATCTACCACTAGCTTCCTAGAACGGCCACATGGAATCTCTAGATTACTGCCAAAATAATCAGTAATTCAAGCAAACCTTGTAGATGCTACATCAGAGTGATTTCTCAATCACTGGAAGTCAATCAGCGAAAGCTGAATTTGAAAGCACAATTAAATGCACTGTGTAGCATTTTACTTTAAAATCCATTCTAAGTATTTAAATAGTTGTTTGTGACTTTTGCTGTGAAGAAATTAGGAAGTCTTACAAGAAACAAAACCTAACTTCAAAGTAGAGAAACTTTGAAGACATGGAAAGTTTCATGGAAACTAAACCAATGTCACAAAGTGTACATTAAATAGATGCAAAAGATCATGCTCAAAAATCTAATCTAGTAAAATAATTTTCAAATACTTCAGTTGTTCCAACATAAAGGAAGCAAGATACTGGAATTTAATTACTGTAGGCCAGTTAAACAAAAAGAAAAGCAACATGGCAAATTTCATTACAGCTGCCTTTATATTCCTTTGATGTAATAATAACTACCATTTAAAGGTGTAATCGATGAAATTTAACTTACCTTCAGTTTCTGATGCACCATTATCAGCAGACTTAAACTGTGGCCTTGCTACAGCTAGTGCTGCCATGGTGAACATGGCCCAGCAGACTAAGTAACAACAACTAGGCATCCTTTTAGTGAAGATCCTTAGACCGCCGCTGGAACTCCATCTGGACTCTAATCCCATCTGAATTATTGTGTATAGGCATGAAAGACCAATGTCCTCTTCTTTACTGTGTGGCTCCTCACTTGAAAAGCTGCAGAAGGAAGAATTAGCCTGTCAGGAGAATGACTGTGAAAGCTTATTTCAATTCAAAAGTGAAAATCATGTTAGTTTTAAACTGTGACAGCACTGCTCACTGGTACAAAAACCATTGGTTAAAATCTGCAGAAAAGGAACATACTAAAGGATCTACTCGCAAAAAAAATTACTTCATCCGCCCTGTATATCATTTAAATTGTGGGTAATCTTTAGTTTCTCATTTTCCCATTGTATCAAACTTAGAAAGCTTGAATATTCATGCGGTATGTTATGATGAAATGCGTCAGGAAGATTAAAGAGTGAAAAGAATTCATAATCAGTACTTAAGTTGTCTTCATTCAATTTCCCTCTTGCATTCTTTCTGCAATAAGGATTTTTAAGATCTTATTGGAAAGTGAGGTTAGAACTGCTGCACCAAAAAAATGCAAGAAAAAAGCTTCCTGGCAATTATACTTGTAAAATGAATGGACACATGTTCACGTTTTTTTCTTCCAGATGGTATTAAAGATGCAAATACAAAGGGACCCAGTTTCACTCAATGCGCAGAACTGTCCTCCAGTACAAGTACAAGGCATGTGAGATTGTAACAGCAAACAAAGCTGCACAACCTGAGGAATACACATTCTGACCTGAGTCAACACACAGGTCAAAATACATCAACACAGCAGCCTTACATAATTGGAAAAACAACTGATGAAAATAAAACCAATGTTTGAGAATAAACGCCTCTGACCAGTGATATCTGGCTCCAATCTCTATCGTAAAAAAGAATTACATGAACTCCATTTAACCCTTTCAATGACAAATTATATTACCTATATTTGATTGAAGAGTTTGAATGAAATACAATTCCAGTTCTGGCTTTCTTCTAAAGTGACCTGCCAGCAACAGCTGAAATTAATGAAAATTAAATTTGTTCATACTGCACAACTCTATGAAGTTCCACTGGTGATCACTGATTAAGTTACTCCTAGTTCAAAACAGTCTTTCAGTTCAGTGGACTTAAAATCCCTGAACACTTTTGACTTGCATTTCAATGACCACACAGAGCAGACAATCCAAACTGCAAATCAATATACTTAATTAAAGTAACATCTGACTATAAAACACTTGATACTTCACAATCTTAGGCAGAATATAGCTTCCTAATGGATCACAACCTTAACATGAAAAAGAAACAATTTCTTTCCAAAATAAATTTTGTTAACTTTTTTTTTGAAAATGTTTTAAGTATTCATCTTACTTTTAATGCACTCAGTGCAAAACTGGAATGATTCACAGGTAAGGTATAGAACATCGTCACACAATTAAAATTGTAATCCCTTGTAATAGACCTAATTTGACTGATAGAAATGGCAAAAAAATTTAATTTGTTTTTATGCCCAATGGTATTTTCTGGAAAATATACAGGTTGAGAGGCTGTCAGTTGGTCTCTTTCTACAACCTAGAACTGATTCCACACTGGTCTAACTTTTCACACCATTGCATTGTCAGCAGACTTTGGATTGTAGCTAACAACAGATTCTTTCCTCATCTCAGAAGTAACAATTTATAGTCCTTCAATTGAAAGTGAGATCAAAGCATGCTGTTAAATAATACAAGACCAGCTCAATTGTATAAATTGCATCAGGGTATAAAAACTTAAGTTTTTCCTTACTTGAAAACATAAATATATGGAACAATCTCAAAGATACAACACATTGTGAGAAGTAAAAAGAAAATTACGTTTAGAAAAATGACGTACTGGTCTTAAGAAATACCTCGAGTTGATCACAGCATTGAGCATGCAATTTTTCTCTTGAGTATTCACATATTGGCTCCTTGCAGTAGTACAGAAATACAAGCAATCCTTCACGGAGTTCCTCACATAGTGAAAGCTAGAGTTTTTTTTGAAAGGGAACTTTGTCTCCCTCCACAGACTACATTGGGGAGGAGCTGTCAACAAATCTGATTGATGGCCTCAATGCCACCCGCTCTTCAAGCCATTTTCACCTCATCACATACCTGCCCAATTCATTCTAAACATGGGAAAGGCTGCTAAAATTGAGACAAGTACTGCATTCCTGCAAGCCAAATTAAAAAAAACTCACAGTGCATAGTAAGCAAGTCAGCACTTGTTCTACAGTGACTAATGTAATTTAACATCAAATATAAGTTATCACACAGTTATTTCATTATTTTTCAGCCTGAGCTCGTTTTCCTTGTTCTGTCCCTTAAGGCCACTAAAATGTAGCATTCAAATAAAACATGAAATAAGAATTTTTGATTTCAAACAGATTACATTCAAGTGCAATTTTCTGGCATACAATAATTGTCTGGAATCCACACTGCTTGGTAGAATTACCTTTACTACCACAGCAAGAATATGACCCACGCTCCCCGCAGCAGGCGTGCGCACAAGATGAATTAAAGTAAGGAATGCGGGATGCCTTGGGTAGTCCTTTAGAAACAAAGCTGTGCCTGGACTACTTAGATCCAACTGTTTCTGAGGAAAACTCGATTATTTGGGATCAGTGAAAACATGACCCAAACACACGTATCCAACATGCGGCTCTGGCACAATGCAGAGAGTGTCCATTTCTCTAAGCAAGGTCTTTTCTTATTAAAAAGGAATCTAAATCACAAGCGATTGCATTCGTCTTGCTAGTGCGTCTGTGTCAAAACAAAGACGGCGACGTTACAGAATAAAAGCAGATACTGCGACCCTGGTTCTGCTGGATATACTTCATTCACAAGTTCGCTGCAAACTCAAAAGCCTTCTGATGCATGTAAAGCTTTTCTTCCCCCCTCTCTCCCCTCTTTGGTCACTCCCCTTTTTTGTAATCTGAACCTGTTCCTGAACGGAGATCCATCAAACAAACATTGCGAACGGACTCTGCCAATCAAATCAGCTTTCAGTAATGTTTAACTCTGCGGGCCAGGCTGTAACTCCTCTGGTTCACAGCATGTAGAATTTGGCGTACAGTTTGCTGGCATGTCCCCCAACTCAGTTTACTCCCTACAACATGAGCAAACGTTTCCAAGATTAGTAGCTGTTGCATTCAAAATGAATGCAGATACAGGAAGGAATGGGACCCTGGGACATTCACTAACATCTACCTATTCGTACTTTAGAAAGCAGCATTTTGGTTGCACCATGACAAGGCAGACGGCATTTTTTTCCTTTAACAGCAATTCAGGGAGTATACTCCTTTAGGCTGAAAGAACGGCAATCAATCAACAGCAGCTCATTTGGCTAAATGACTTACCATTAAAGTAATGCCTTGCATTTCTTAAAAAGGATAGAAATTACACAACGTGGAATATAAAAAAGGAGTGTTTGCAACAAAGAAAATAAAAACAATGATCATAGTAAACAATTCCATTATGGGATATTTTGAGGGCAAAGCTTATCACAGCAAGCTTGGGAGATCCTTCACGCCAGTTATCTTTTTGAATAAAACCATAATCTATTCACTGATTTTGTTAAGTGATTGGCTGCTTTCGACCTCCTTCAAGGTCCCATTGAATGCGAATGGTAAACCTAATAAGCCTATTATTGAGCCCCCCAGTGGAGTGTGAATGGACAAATAGACACTGCTCAACAGACTAGGAACCAAGGGCAGTAAAGCCATCAGAGTTCAGCCGGCAAAGAGAACAATAGCCTCAAGTCTTAAACAAGAGCTGGGATTGACAAGGACCCCATTCAAAGTATCTGCATCCCTCCCCCCCCCTCAAAAAGAGGGGTCCATTTTATTTTGTCTATCTCCAACAATATATCAAACCCTTGAAGGACCTCAGGGACTTCCTTTAAAACAAAACTGCCATTCTGAATTTTATACTGAAACATCAATAAGCAGCCGGGACATTAAGGATAGGGAATAGGTTGAACAAAGCTGTCTGTTAATAAGTGCAGAAAAGCCCTGATACAGTAGGAAAGAATAAGTTTTATCTCAATACAAGAAAAATGTTATATTAGTTATTCATTTTTAAGCAAGAGAACGCAATTAATCCTTCATTCTTGTTAGAATTACATTTACAAATGCCCTTTATCAAGATAGATACACGGCCATTGTAACGTTTACCAAGAAACACCGGACAATTTACCCTCCAATTTTATTACTTCCTCTGATGGAAAATTTGGATCATCCTGGATCACGCTTCAAAAGTGAACTTTCTCCTCTTGACCTATTACTTTGTCCAAAGTGTCACTTTTTTACCATGAGAGTTGACATTGAGCATAGGCAAACTATTCGACCATCAGAAGTATCACAGTTGAGCCCAATTCTATCCTCACCAAGCTTCGACAGATGAACATTACTAAAAATAACGGTAAAAGTAATTGAGTACTGATCATGAGCACAAATAATAGCTGTTTATTTGGCCTTCCATGATCCAGAGATATGGTGACCAATGAGACGGTTTCCAACATCAATTGACTGTCATTTATTTCAACGTAAATCAGGTTTTGACCTGAGACTGTCCTAGATCACTTTACAAGGAAATTAATATTAAAATGTTAAACGAATGAAAAGCAAAAATATTCATTTTCCAACTAAAGTCTCGCATTTCTAACAATCAGAACAAATTTATGATACTATGAATCAAAAATTCAGTTTACGAAGTTCCTTAAGAAGCATAATTGTATTACATAGTACCTTATGCTGAAATCTTCTGAGGAGAATGCTCATTTTTTTCTCAGCTACAAGCTAACAGCAGCAGAATCTGCCACCACATTATCCAAATAGACAAGCTACTTTAGAATACTCATTTAGACAATGGTGCCAGAACGTCTGAACAGAGACTGTTCTCACACAGAATAAGTACTGTGTCTTTCAAACTGCTATTAATTACTTCAAAGTACACTTTGACAGTATGGGAGTGAGAAAAAACAAAAAAGGGAGGAGCTTTTAAAATGTAAACTATTTCTAAATACTGTTCATTTGTCTTGAGCATGGTGTGGTTTTGGAACTGTTACACAGGGAGCCTCTAGTCTCAAAAGTCCTTTGGAGATATCCTAGTCCAAAACCAATCAGAAGTTATACATATTTGAAACAGTTCTAAGAGTTACTGAAAAGCACTGCAACTGTCATAATAAACTAACTACACAAATTAGTAGTGATAGTGCTTATAACGAGAGAAGTAAATTACAGGATGCAAGCTACAGGTTTATAAAGACAGCACATTCCAATCTTAGTGAACATTAGTTATTTTTAATAAAGTGCAGCATGTAAAATATGTCATGCATTATCTACCTCAATTGGCCGGATTCAGGGATGAGTTCTGTTCAAACTCATACTGAGTGATAAAGGAGAATAGATTAACTTGTACTGCCTGCCTATTCTTCTTCCTTTCATCTCTGCTAGGAAGTAGGTGGCTTCTGCTCACTCACTTTTTTTGCAGAGCAGCAACAAGATCATGAGCTTGTATGGGAATCGTGATCAGCGAATGCAGATACATTCACTTGTGCTTGACAAATTCGATGTACTGACAGGCTGGCACAAGATAATTGGCAGTCACATTATTTCTGGATTCATGTTTGATGAACTTGACATTTTAAATAATTAGAAATCAATGGAAAATATAAATTGTTCTGCTGCTGTACTCAATTCTGCCATTAGAGGCTGCTTCTTCATTGTTCGATTAGAATTCAGAAATCCACAGTTTGCAGCACCACAAAATTAGACAGATCTGCCCGATTTCTCTTGGCACCTGGAAGTACAGACATGTTCAGCCCTACAAATTGTGCCCAATCAATCATAGTCTTGCCCATTGCCTGAAAAACACTCAGTGTAATTTTTCTGATTTCACAATACCTGGGGACTCTGCTTGTGGAAATGGTTTAGTGCAAATTCAGGCAAAGGCTGCACTGGGTTTCTTGTTCTGCCACAGTAGAATGTGACTGCCTGAACTTCTAATGATAATTTCCAGTAACCATTGCTCCCCTAACAGAAGCACATTGAAGAATTCTCCAAATCTAGACTGTGAAAATTCAGTATAACGTATTTTACAGCATAAAGCAAAACAATGAAAAAAGCGCAGCATTTTTCAATTCCACTCATTTAGAAAAAAAAAATCACCACATATGATGTATTTTAAAAATTACAAACCAGAAATTACTGCACTGGAGCTGTCTGAAACGTATTACTGGTTCATAACATAAGTGGCTGTTCCACTTGATTTAACTCTCGCTCTTGAAACTTGCCCATCTGTTTGACTGACATCCCAAGTGCAATGGAATCATTTTCTCCCCCTCCTGTGCAGTTTTGAAACAATGCCATAAACACCTACAGAAGTATGACTGAAACCACAAAAATGTTGACTCTACCCTTACATATTAAACACCAATAGCTCCCTCTGTGGTAGATGTCTGAAGGCGGAGTTATCTTATCTCATTATCCTGAAGTAATCCTTATTTTAAAGTCACCACACCTCAAAAGGCGCCTAATTTACAAATGATAAAGAGACAGCTGCATGCTTACATAATTATGCAATTCCATAAATTCTTCTGTACTTAGTAGAATTGGGAACAATACACATGATTGTTAAGCTTATTTTACAATACCAAAGAGACAATATACATCACAAACTGGCAATTCAGCCCAACCAAATTATACTGAAAGCAAAGCTTCAATTCATACAACTGAATTAAGTGACAAAACTAGCAGAAGACTTATGTTTGATTTTACAAAAAAGTGCCAGGTTTTGTTACTTTTCTAATGATCTGAATTATCTTGAAGGAGATTAAGGATCATTCATGCAGGAGTAAACAATTTTGTTTAGGAACATAAGAGTTTCTAATGGACTAAATGAGACTTTAGGAGGCAGGCAACTCAAGTCCAATTGTGTTTTCGAAACAACCTATGTACACAAGGGAGGGTGTCTGAAATGGGGTCAGTCACACTACCTATCCCAAGCTGTTATGCTGTTTAAGGATGCAGTTTATTGATATTATTTCTGGCAACCATAATTCTTCTCTCATTTTTTCAGATTATTACCTCTCCAACTATATTTCCTCAAATTGATCAGGCTTTATATTATTTACAATTTTGAGCACGGCCACAACAGAAAAGAGATAACAAGGTGTAGAGCTGGATGAACACAGCAGGCCAAGCAGCATCACAGGAGCAGGAAGGCTGACGTTTCGGGCCTAGACCCTTTTGGCAGAAACAAAGTTCATATTGTTTTAGCTGAACAAAATCTGAAAACTAACTTATAATTGGCTTCGTGAAGGGAACTCTCGAGTCTTGTTTTTAAATTTTGAATACACAATAGCAGCCATTTGGAAATCAAACAAATCCAGACAATGAAACATTCAAAAACAAAAGCGCAGCTGATCAAACACTTTTCTCAATGTACTTGCTATATTGGATTTGGGGAAAGTTTTCTACATACAAGAATATCTGCCCACTTGGATACAAAAATAAACCAAGAAAGGCTTTTTCCTTGCTCTCCTTTAATGGTGTAATCTTGTACATCAGCCAAGTTGCTAGTAATGCTAATCCGCAAAGAAGAAAGGAGAGAAAAGTAAAGAAGGCATTTGGTATGCTTTCCTTCATTGGTCAGTGCATTGAGTACAGGAGTTGGAACGTCATGTTGTGGCTGTACAGGACATTGGTTAGGCCACTTTTGGAATACTGCATTCAATCCTGGTTTCCCTGCTATAAGAAAGACGTTGTTAAACTTGAAGGGATGCAGAAAAGATTTACAAGCATGTTGAACTACATGGACAGGCTGAATAGGCTGGGGCTATTTTCCTTGGAGCGTCAGAGGCTGAGGGGTGATTTTATGGAAA